GCGGACCACACTTTGAGAAGCACTGAAAGGTAGCAGCCTTGACAGGCCACTAGATGTTGCTGTTGCGCAGCAAATTGTTGTTTTTTGTCCATTGTGGGACACAGCAATTCGGCCTACTTGTGCTAAAATCAGAGTAATTATTTAGAATTTTGAATATCCTGGGTAAATAACATTGTTGTTTTATGGTAGAGGTGGATAAACATTTAAAACCAAGCTTTTAAAAAATAAGCATTAGACCTTTTAAATACAAAATATATGGTATAATGTGTTGGGGACCTAAATGGCACAGAATGCTAGGAATGACTTTTTTATGTTTTGTCTGTTAATTTGGATGTTTTATTGGTTAGCATGTAAATGTAGCATTTACATTCACTCCATAAAAGGTGTTTCAGAAGAGCTGCCATTGGAATAAATAAATCACCGCTCAGCGTCTCCACTACAATCCGATCTACTGTGTCCTGTTTTCCTCCTCTCTGCATAACATCCCATCACCCATAAGAAACACAACGCAGAGTCCAAGGGTGTTCAGAGAGTCTACAGGACATTTGGGTTACATGAACAAGAACACCTCCATAGACCAGACCTTCTCAGTTTGTAGACTGCTCCAGCCAACGGCTGCCGTGCTGTTTCTCTATAAATCAATGCTGAATTGGACCTTCTGTTTCATTCTTTTTCTTTATTGGCGACTTCCAAACAGAGTAGACGAGAATTATCGCCACCTACTGTATCACTGCAGCATTGTTTTTTGTTACTTCCGTTTCATTACAGTGACTTCCGTTACAGCAAGAATCTCCCTCACACACACAGGTGAAACACATGCACATTCCCTACTGAGAACCTTTCGGTAACATGTTTTCAGTTGTGAGAGTTTGAGGTTAATTTTCAGTAGTGTGTGTGCGAGGTGTTCAGTAGTGAATGTGAGAGTTTTCAGTAGTGTGTGTGCAAGGCCAGATGTTTTCAGTAGTGTTTGTGTGAGGTGTTCAGTAGTGAAGGTGAGAGTATTTCAGTAGTGTGTGTGCAAGGCTAGATGTTTTCAGTAGTGTGTGTGCGAGGTTAGTTTGAATTTTGGCCTACACGGCCCCTCATAGATCTAGCATTCAGGGATATTGAGCATCTCTGATAAAACAATGCAACACCCTCACACAATCTTGTACACAAACTACTGCACTGTACCCAGAGCTGACTGACAATGTTTATAAGGAAGTGGTGAGGTTTGGTGCTGGGAGTTGTCCCCCATTAAAGCTTGTGTCGTGCGTCTGCAAACTGGCTGAGAGCATGACTGGCTGCCACTGCCGCCGGGCGTGTGAAGCTATCAAGTGGCACATGTTTTGCTTAATCTGTTGGAAAACTGTGGATGTTTTGAATGGCTGCTAATGACCTGTAAGCCCTCCAGACTAATTCCTTAAATGTGGGGCTCATTAAGCGATGCCATGACATATGGCTGAAGCTGTGTTTGTGTTGGAAAGTAAGTGGACGCGATTGGGCCTTTGAGCCCCTATCCAAGAACAACACAGGCCTGAATCACATTCTGCCAAGGCCTCATCCAGGCAAAACTGTTTGGATTAGAAACCTGGACAGCATGAAGGCACATGCACATCAAAGCTTCATCAATACTCTCTTTAGCCACAATTATTGCACGTGGCTTGAACTGGTAAGCACACACACAGTTCACACCACACATAAAACACTTCCTCTGAAAGGTTAGAGCACTCTCTTTTGTCTTCACCTGATGCTCATTCATCTACCTACGTTAGCGGTGAGAAGCGGCAGGGCTGGGCACCCAGGCCCGGCGGTTGCCAATGACAGGCCTGGCTTCCACTCTGCCACCACATCCATCCTGTCCGAGCTCGATGACTCAGCTTCTCAGAGGCACAGGAGTGTGGGAGGTATTCTCCTGCGCTTGGCTGCCTACGTGAAAGCAAACCCACTTATCAATCTCTAAATGGAAATTGGAAGTGCTCAAAGGTGTGTGAGCTATGTTTCAGTTTGTGATCTGCAGGTGCATACATGTACAGCCTAAGTTAAGATGCCAAGACATTCCCTTTCTTTTCCCACAGAAACTTTTACTGAAAAAATCGATCAAGCTGTTAATCAGTTCATGCTGCTGTCATTCGTTTTGAGGCATCAGTAAGGTTTGAATAAGATGAATGTGAGTGATTGTCATTCTCTGCAGGAAAGCGACAATCATTATTTGAGACCCAACCAGTTCTTCGCCCATGTTGTCAACGACAGGAATGCTATTATTAAAGGCAGCTTAAAATAGGACTTGATATTAAGCCCACATTTCCCATGGCAAAGGAAAGGAGGGAGAAAGGCGTGAAATTCCAATTAAAGAAGAAGGAAGAATTCTGAGCACTTCATTTAAAGACAAGAAGAGAAAGTAGAAGAGTATCTGGTGCTATCACTCTCAGTATGATCCACAGTTAACTTCACCTGTGACGAGTTACAGTAGAAGATAATACAACCAGGTGTTAGCAGAAGTGTCTTCATTCAACTATTCTTCTTCTTTAAATTGAGGCTGTAAAATGTACTCAAATCATAGGGAGATTATGTCTGCTCTTGAAAGATTTCTATTTCATGCCTAACCCTAACCCTTTAATAAACGGAATTAAAGACGTGCAGAAATGTACACACAAACTAGTCCCTGGATACAGCAACACAAAGCTGTAACAAATGGGGCAAGATGTATCCTACTTTTCTATTAAGAACCATAACCAAAGCTGGGAGGAGAATGGAGAATCATTCCTTATGAACCCTAGGAGTTTTTCCTAAAACAATATTTCTATATGTCAGAAAAGCAATAGGTGTACAACAATACAATTCATGACGGCTGAATTCCATTTAGCTTTCATGCATGCTGATTAAAGACAGCTGTGTTCTATTGCAGTGTCATGACAGTGTTACATTAATGTTATTATTAACCCCTGTACTTTTCATAGCATGACAAGTCAAAAATATCTTGTGTGAAGGCCTATAATGCATGACACTTCAATTGAAACGGGTCAAAAGCTTTTTTCACAAGAGCCTTCTTGCAAATGTTAGGTGGCGTCCTTCCTGAAGAGCTCAAGGGCTCTAGAAATTAAAGTGGTATGAGGTTTTGAGAAGGGAATCACTGTATGTTGGAGAATAGAGGTCAAAAGGTCGTGGACCTTTGGGAAGATAATGCAAGCTAATAATCTGAGAGGAGCCGTTTAAATTGAGTGTGGGGTCCCAAGAGTACAATAAGTATTCACGACACTTTATCAGACCCAGACTTCAACGCCAACACAACATGCAACTGTAAATGTACATAAACCTATTCTATGATGTATCTGCCTAGTCTCAGTTTGCTGCAAAGAGAACTTTTTTATCTGAAATGTTGAAGCGATCCTATTGACTGTTTTCTTCTCTCTTTATTTTTTGGTTATTTTGTTCTCGTCTAATGAGTGTTATTACTGCTATTTTATTTTGTTATTTTACTTTTTTGGGATATGGAAATCTTCTCTAACCTACATTGTTGTTGTGTCCTTGCTTGTGTCTCCTACCTGTACAAAAAAACCCCACATGACCTTTAACTTTTTTACTCTACACTATATTAACATTTTTGATGAAGAGATAAAGGCATTCAATCCAGAACTTTGTGATATTCATTGATGGGAAACTTTCAAAAATGAGTAGCAGCCATGTTTATCTGTCGGCTTGAATATTTGAACTCTGTCAGGAAGACTATCAGGTCCTCTTATCACGCGTCCTCTGGACTTTCGCAGCGTTGTATAATTTCGCCTTAAAGCTGCAGGATTCAGCTGTGACCGTGATGAAATAATGGTGAATGACATCAATAAAAGGCAGTCCGTGTAAGCAGTTGATGTTTGTTTTATTGGCCTAAGATTGTCTGGACATAATGCAACGTCTCCGGTGCTTAACAATGTTTAGTACATTTATTTGTGACATGTGCGGCACAGAGTATAAATGTGTATACTGAATAAAAGAGAGACATGGAGTCATACGAAAAAAAGGCAAATTTTACAATGAGCTCTCAGGACATTTTCTTTTCACACGTTTTTTTTAGAGCATTATCTCGTTTTAAAAATATGCCCCTTGACATGAATGGAGGACAGTAAACAAACAGAAATGTGTTATCTTATGTGACCTCTCACCCTGGCACTTTCACATTTGATTACCAAAGCGATTGTTTTCTCAGCTATAATACAATGCATACAGGATTTTTTTACATTGAAACACCAGTTACATCTGCCATGTTCAAATATTTGACCCCATTAACAAAATATGTATAATAACAATAACAAATTTACCAACGATAAAAGCATTTGTATAATAGTCGGAGAGTCTCTTGCTATGCTTGATTGAGACTGAAAGAATCATGTGCGTCCAACAGTTTATATACACAGTGATGAAAAAATACAGACATGACACAAGTGCTTGGGAAACACAAAAGTTATTCTGTGAGAGTGGTTGAGGCTATGATTGATAAATTAGGCTTTTCTGACAGACGCTCATCTCTCATGTTGATTGGCTGGTGCAATGCTGCCTCCTCATGGCTTAAAGCACACACTGCAGACTGTGTCTTTAAAGATTCTTCAAAAAGGGACAACTTGCTCTGGAGTCCTATTGCACAATTTATCTTCCAGCGATGGAGAAATATACATTTCAATTTGAAAAGTCAGTGTTTTTTCCCCCCTCTCCCACGACTGTTGGCAAAAAAGTTCAAACTACTGTACAGTGTCACATTTTAAATAAATACTCTCCGTTAACAAAATGTTGATGAGTATATTTAGCATTTATAAAACTGAAAAACATCTCCATCGACTCAAAAGGAACCACGTAATTCAGCACCAACATCTGGTGGCAGCTTTGGCTGAAAAAAAGTAAACAAGCGAAAAACAAATGCCGAACAAAAGTAGCAATCGCCAGCAGGTATTAAATATTTTGTATTAAAAGGGGTTTTCAAATCCCAAACCCACTTTTTTTTTTTTAAACGGGGGCTTTACATATATAGATATTTTTGTTTATGTGGATATTTCTTTTTTAGAAAAACAAACATTTTCTGTCATTTTGATAAATAAAAATAGAAAACCACAGGAGTGTGTTAGCATCTGCCGGGTGAGTCCTGCCTCTCCTCTTGTCACAATTTCCCTAAGTGGAAGAGAACTTGGCAAATGATAGCCACCACCCCTGCGTTGAGCACGGAGGAAATGGACATGTCTAATAATCGGCTCTCGTACAGCACAAACTCTGTCTTGTTCTCCGCCACTTTGGCCATGGCCAGCAGGCCCTTAGCCGCTCGGCACATCATGTTGATGCTGGGCGGGTCCATGGGGGGCTGCCCCATGTGCAGCAGGCTGTGAGGGTTCTGCTGGTACTGCACCATGCTGACGCCGTCCTCCAAGAAGCCTACAAAATTACCCACGCTGCCTTTCTGCATGGTGATGGCGCACGCCGCCGTGGGGTCTCCCTGTGCCAGGTGGGAGAGCAAAGCCACGGCCATCTCCCGGTACACCTGCGCCTTCCTCTGAGCGATGTAGCGCAGCAGCACGGTGAAGAGTTTCTCTTGGCGGCTGAAAGGGGGCGTGGCCAGCAGGAGGTCGATGTTGCCGCCCTGGATGCTGAGCTTGCAGAGGCACTCCAGCACCAGCCTCTGGGAGGTGAGCTGGGAGTGGGCTGTTGCTGAAGGGAAGGGGTCCTGGGCTTCTGCCGAGGGGCACACCATCCAGTGGAGTAGGCCGTCCAGGATGGGGAGGCAGATGGTGTCCGGGTAGGTGGAGAGATCCAGCTGGCCCGAGATGTTGGCCAGAGTGACCATGGCGTTCTCCCTGAGCAGACCCAGACACTCCCACCACCACTCCCCCTCGCTGCTGGAGGACCCCTGCTCCTGCAGCTCGTCCCTCCGGTAGCCGGGTGGCGACCTGTTCCTCTCCGGGTGCTGGTGGTGCAGCAGGAGCAGCTTGCCCAGGAGGAGGACCAGCGCGGGGTGGCGGGACATGTCCAAATCATTCCCGGGGATGAAGGACAGGCTGCGCACGATGTTGGAGACACAGAGGCAACGCTTGGCCAGCGCATCCTGCCCGGCAGAGGAGGTGGAGAGCGGAGCCTCGTCCCGGCAGCGCGGCTCGTCCTCCAGCAGGGTGATGTGGTCCTGCTCGCCGTCCTCGTGCACCCTGAAAGGGTAGGAGGGCAGGGAGCGGGCGGGGTGGGCGTAGGAGAGGGCGTCGACCCGAGCACACAGAACATCGTCAATTGTCGCGGTGAAATGTTTCTTTCCATCATCCTCTCTGTTTTCTTCCTCTTTGTTTGTCTTTCCCTCCGCCCGGGCAGGTGGTTCGCTCCGGGGTTCAAATTGTGTTTGAATGTGTGCTGTGGAATCCCCCCCGCCTGCCTGCCAGTGGAGCAACCCGCTGGTGAACTCTGTGACGTAGCCTAAGTGCTCCATCATGTCCTCCGTCAGCTCCTCCTTGTGGACGATCTTGATGGGGAGACGGTCGTATTTACTGGCTTGTTTGGGTTTAGGCTCCGTCTCGGCGCTCTCCTTTTTACTCTCTACTGCTTTTCCACTCTCTGCCTCCACCTCTTTCCCTCCGTCCTCTTCTTTCTTGACGCTAACCTCTGTCTCACCGTTCACCTCGGCTGGCTCTGCATTGTCTGGTGGAGTTTTTTCCACTATGGCCGCCGCTTTCTCCACCTCTGCTCCCGGAGCTGCGTGAGGTTCAGGTTGAGCACTACACTCTGTTTCCTGGTCAGCGGGCGCTTCTTCTTTCTGGTCAGCAGCAGGGTCCAAAATTATTTTCTGAGCCACGGCCCCCACCTCAAACTCTTCCAGGATGCCAAAGATCTCGATCAGGTAACGGCGGAAGTACTCCACAATCAGCTCTAGGAATCCAGGCAGCTGTTCAGAAAAAATGTATGTCAGCAATTAGAGCAGAAGCAAATGTCATTCTAATTACTTTTTCATTTCAAATGGACATAATATCTCGAGTCCTTTGGCCTACATAATGATATAATGGTCTAATGAATATGTCCTCCCAACTAAATGTTATGTCTCTTCACTATATCAGTTACAGCAGGCTCTGGCAGTATAAATGAGTGATTGCGTCCTGTCAGCAGGGAGGTGTATGCCTGTGTTTTACCTGGGAGAGGTTAAAGGAGCCCACAGTGCTGTCGTCGTACAGCAGGATGTTGATGGTGTCCAGCGCCCAGGTGCTCTCCGCCAGCAGGCCGGACTTTAAAGACATCATCACGCGCCAGGCCTCCGGTGTTCCTGCAATATAAACAGTAGGATGTTCAGACAATGTCCAAACGATACAAAGGAAACACTGAATAGCGTAGTTCTAAGTACTTTTATAAAATGTACATTAGGCTGTGATATGTCTAAAAAATCCACAACATGCACAACGAGAATAATTATCCTTACCAATCCACCCACTGTCACTGGTTGAATGTAACTGGGTACTCTAGTATTGTATTTCAATATTTTCAAGTCAATATTGTATTTTTTGCTCTACTACGTTTATTTGACAATACTTGGATTCATAATATTAACACAACATGTGAATCAACTAACTAAGGATGATGTGTTATTATGAGCAGGCATACTATAGAATGGCAACAATATGCCCCACCTTTACTACATAATTAATTAACTGCACGTAATGAATAACTAATTATGATTACTCTATTCTGAAATGGGCTGCATATTTAATGCAGGACTTATATATTTAAATATATTACACTGTAGTATTGCTATTGCATCTGATCACCTCGGACAGAACAGTCATTAAATAAATAATCTCACCGGTGTCCTTGGAGGTGAGCCTGCGTCGGGGCTTGAGGAGGGGCATGGTGGCCTCCACTGATCCTGGGGGGTAGTTGAGGTCCCGCCTCAGGTTGGGGGGGTAGTGACCGAGGGGCCCCTGTGGGCCCATCATGCTCATCCCAGGCTTCGTCATCTTCATGGCTGACATGAACGGAGCCTTGCCCGGAGACATCCTGGGGTCCATGGAGCGCTGGAAGGCCCCCGGGCTGGGGGCCCTGGGCAGGTGGTTGAGCATGGAGGGAGAGTTAGAGTAAGAAGATGGCTGGCGTGAGGTCAGGGGCATCATGCCCCCCGATGATGACATGTAAGGGGACTGACGGTGCCACTGCTCCTGTCCCGGGCGCCCCTCCATGTCCTCTCTACCCATGTAGGGGGGCATTTGTGACGGTGGCCCCTGTCTGTTGGGGTAAGGATAGCCCAGGTCTGTTCTGGAGGGCCACATGTTGGGGCCATCGGCCGCATGGTTAGGAGGTGGCCCCCCACCCATCATGCTGTGCTGGCTCTGACCTGAGGGGCCCATGCGGTCGCGGGGGTAAGGGTAGGGGAACTGTCCCTGTAAGGGTCTGTGATCGGGGCCGGAGTACCCCCCGCCGTAGTGGTTGTACATGTCCGGCTGCTGGTTGGCGTACTGCATGGCGTACATGTCGCTCTCGTGTCTCTTGGGGGGGGGACCGTACATGCCATCCATTGGCCGTTTGTAGCCCTGCTGAAGCAAGGGGGGAGATGGTTAGTAAAAATAGGCATACTAATAGCTCCAGGAGAATCAGTGGTGGTATATATGAGATTAAGAATTACATTATCTGAGTAGCATCTTTACATATTTTCTCAACCCTAGGTATGGCAGATATTTATGGTTAGGATTACTTCTACAATTTCAATCGAATCCTCTATGTTCATTTCCAAGGATATTTTATTTGGCTCGGTTTTTCCGTCTGTTGGTTCTTTTCTCTATGAGCAGGATTACAAAAAAAGCTACTGGCATGCTTTTCATCAAACTTGTAGCGTGAGGATTTATTTATATGGTACACCATCTTTAGTGTGATCTTAGGGCATTTCCTGTTCCAAATGGGTTTAATGTTTTGCTGGTACGTCATATATAGTGCAAAGCTTCTTTATTAACATCTTAGAGATGAGCTCTCTCTCACCTGTTGCTGTGGGTACATCCCAGATGGATGCATCCCGTATGGCATGCTGGGATACTGCTGACTGTAGCCATCGTGTCTGAAACACAACAGAGGATACATCACACGCTGGTTCAGAACATGAATCGTAAAGTTACATGATGACTCCACAGGTGCTGACCTCTGCTGTGAAGGGTATCTGCTGGGAGAGTACATGCTGCCCTCACTGTTGGAAGGTCCCATGTTGTTCTGACTCCCAGGGGGACCCATGTTCCCCTCCATCCCCATGACATGGTCCGGTCTGAGGATCGAATAGGGAAAATATCAGAGAAATAATGACATGCTGCAGGTTCACCACCCTCATCTGCTGGTCTGCTCCTACCTCCTGTCGTAGCCCGGCCCGTACGGGTATTGCGAGCGCTGGCTCATGCTCAGCGCCGACGGGGGGCGACCATACATGTCCTGCATGCCTCCACTCGGCATCTGACCCGGAATGTAGGGGTCAGCTCCTGCCACTGAGAAGGAGGAGAGAACATTAGGTATTTCTGATTGTTGCATATTATCATGATTTTAGGCAATCACTGATAAACAGCAAACATGTTTATTTTTAAATGCATGGATCTTTTTATCTGCCGACCACCAGGTGGCAGCATTCCTCTATGAATATTTTCCATTTCCCATGATTAAATCTATTGTTCTGAGGCTGCGACTGTTGTTATGCAGCTAACATCCACCATATTATTCATTCAGACTCCATTCTCTCCAGCCTTCAGAGGAGCCGCCATTCTTTCTGAAACTACTGTTTGTTCTGAAAACTAAACCGCATGAGTTGGTCAAAACAGGTGCTTCTCAGCAGGATGGAAAGGATGAAAGGTTGAGAATGAGGAGGATGAAAAGGACGTACAAAGTAAGGATGAGACGAAGGCTAAGCTACAAGAACATCAGACGGGCCGTTGTGTTTTCGATAAAAGGATGTGTGTGGCCTAAAAAATTGTTCTCATCTTCTTTCATACTTCTGGTAGTAACACACACACACACACACACACACACACACACACACACACACACACACACACACACACACACACACACACACACACACACACACACACACACACACACACACCTTTCCTGACTAGACGATGAATTAGACCGACAAGACAAACCAAAGAACAATGGCTTTGGGATGAATGAGGCATTTTAAAGAGTTAATTCATTTACATATACTCATTTAAAGTTTATTAACATAAGACTCAGAATATTGGGGGAAATTGTGGAGAACATGGTTTGGGTAAAAGGATGTCACAGCGTGTGGTTCACTCACTCTTCCTCATCCCGGCGAAGGGGTCCTTGGTGTCGTACTGCATCCTCATCATCATGTCAGGCATGCTGAGGCCCTGCTGGTAGGGAGCTGAGGGGGGCAGGGGGGTAACACGCTTCTGGAAGGCAGGGTCGCTCACCTCCGAGAAGGGATCCTGTACGCTCACACTGCTCCTGGACAAGGGAGGAGGGGGAGGGGGTAAGAAGAAGAAGCTGTGAGGGAGGTGGAGACAACTGAAACAGTGAACATATGGAATGTGTGCTTTGAAGACAAATTATTAAATGTTTTAATTGGCTATTAAGTTTACGCAATTTTTTGTCAAAGATGCTAGAGGGGTTTATCATAGGCCAGGGAAGAACATGTTTACTTTTTCGGAAAATCATCTTTATTTTTCCTTTTCTTTAAAACTGGGAGTTAGATATTATTTGATATAGTTACAGATGCAATACTGTAGACACGTATGCAGCACATTAAGTCACAAGTGAAGCTTATTTCAACAACGGTATATATTGTTAAGCACTGTAATCTTAAACAATGCTGATAATATAATTCAACCTTATCCTTCAAATATGTTGACTAGTTGAGTTTACTAAGTTACATTCAAACTGTTGTTTATTTGTGTCATGCAATGTGCATACAGAAGTTCTGCAGTACTGCAAGTTCTTTTACAAAATAAAGTCAAATAATCATAGATAATAAAAACTACTATAGCGGCAGTGACTGGATGAACATAATGACCACCCTAAATTGCTCCTGTGGGTATTGTCCACAGTATTGATGTATTACGTGTCTGATATATGTAATATGTAATGTAAAGCGCTTCAAGCACTTGTAAAAGCGCTAAAATAAATGTAATTAATTATTATTATTATCATTAGAGCAGCGTTGGAGCATCAGCAGTACTGCATTAGTGCTGTTACTGTTACAGTGGGTCTGTGTGGTACCTGTTGGGGGGCAGAGGTGTGACTTGTCCCAGAGGGGTGGTGGCAGGGGTGGGGGGTTTCAGATCTCCCGCTGCCTCCGCTGTAGAGCTGCTGCCGGAGGACTGAGGCGTCTGCGGGCCTTGGAGTGAGCCGCCTGAATTCGCTGGAAGACACAAGTATCCGTTTAAATCATTATATGATTCACAGAACTCGCAAAAGCAAAAAGTGAAACACATCAGACCGCAAGGCTCTCAGGATATGATCTAGAGGCTTGTTTGAGTAAAGGCGGCCATGGTGGGCTTTTTCTCTGCAGCGAGGTGCTGTGTAAGGGAGATAACTTAGGATTTAGAGCCGAAGCACTAAGAGTGGTACCCTACGTGAGAACTGATCTCGAAGCAAACAGCCGCCATGAGGGCAGAAAGATGAGGGACTGCTAGGAGAAGGGAAAGGAGGCAGGAGGAGAGGAGGGAGGAGGAAAGGAGGCAGGAGGAAAGAAGGCAGGAGGAGAGGACACAGCGAAGGCTTCCTCAGAGGGAATTGCAGCACAGCTCTCTATTTAGAAGCTGTTTGAAGATGGGTTAGCAGGCTAGTGTACCATGGACTTGATCATGGGTTCATGTGGAGGGCTATGCTGGGGGCACATATGCATTTAAAGAAAATATAGTGTATCTACTACCATTAGTGTATCAAAAATAAAGAAAAACATGCACACCCCTCAATTTAAGTGAGAAAGCATGTGCTTTCGGCATGCTAACAAATACATCCCCTCACAAAGAGACTCCTACAGAGGTTAAAATTGGGTTAGTGTGCTCTCTTGTTATGACACCGTATTTCTGTGGAAGTTCAGGTGACTCGTAAAGTATGAGAGTGCCGACCAATAAGAGCCTAATACACACAAAGAGCCCCCTACCAGATAAACCAAGGGATACAAATTCCCAGAAGCAGGTTTAATGGAAATTGTGGAGCGTTTCAGCTAAAAGAGGACAAAGACGGTGGAAGAGAGAATATGAAAGCGTCCTAATGAGCATTTAGCGTAAGAAGGCTTTCTCTGGAACAGCCTCAGTGGCCTTTCACTGCACCGCACGTTTCCACGGGAAGAAAAAGAAAAAAGGGAAGAAAGACTTAAGCTTTAAAAATTCATGCTAATTCTGAATTATTCAATGATACCCCCTGCCTCTACACCATCAGAGAAAGAGAAACAGAGAGAGAAAGAGAGAGAGGGAGAGGTGGTTTTCCCCTGATGATGAGCCGGGGTAGAAGAGAGAGCAAGGAAGGGCCGGTGAGCATTAGGGATTCTCCACTTCCTGGGATATGCCCGCACACACTCACACACGAGAGAAGTGCAAACGGGTTAGCCAAGGTTAAGAGGTTTACTATTCCTCAAGAGCAGGCAAGCAGACAGACGGATACATAACACCGAGCCGTGGGGTTACAGAGCTGGAGGAGAGCGTGAACTCATGTGCCCTCTGCTCCACATTCACAGGGAAGAATGACAGAGGGGAAAAAGAGTGTGTACAAAAAAAGGAGACTGGCCTTTGATGTGTGTGTGCACGAGAGGCTGTGTGTGTATGTGTGCGGGTGACATAATAATCCAGAGGGCTGGTAATGGTTAAAGGGGGGGGAGAAAAAAAAGTCAGTCAGCCGAGTGAGTTTTGTGAATGAAAGGTGACGGCGAGGTCGAGTTTGTTTACGTTCTACATTCCAGCTCTCATTAATCACTCCACACACACACACACACACACACACACACACACACACACACACACACACACACACACACACACACACACACACACACACACACACACACACACACACACACACACACACTGGACAAGCTCCCTGTGTGACATCATTGGGCTGTCAGTCTATATATAGGCTGGCAGGGTGTCAGGGAGGCAGTTTGCACTTTGCAGCAGGAGAGCATGGATAGTAGATCAAGACAGAGGCGTGAAAAGGAAATGAATGGGACTTTTTCTAAAGGGGTATTCATAATTTCTCAAACAGACAATGTTTCCCTGTGTAATTTCTTTGGTCGCGTCTGAATCGAACCTCTAACTGCAATTGTTTGTGTGTTTGGTGACAGATGCACTGGCCCATAATAGGCAAACACATTAAAGACTTGTTGACATTATATAAATGTCAACTGTCATTAATTTTATTTGATTGTTTGGGAAATGAAGTGTTATAATTTATTTAGGTTACACATATCTTTTTTTATCTTATCAAAGTAATTGCTAATGTCCAGGAACATGGCAACATTGCGACACTGCATTCAGACAAGATTAACGCTTGTAAACAAGTGAACAGTAGCTGGATGAAGGGTGGATGCTTTCCTGTGATGTACAGTTTATTACTTCACAGCAATATAAATTGTTCTTTGCCCTGGTTTCCTGGGACATCCCAGCAAAAATTAAGTTTGATTTAAAACTGCAAAAGCAGACAATTTGTCATACATTTGATTTTAATATTACATATTAATTGAATGATTGGAAGATAAACAATATCTGTTAAAACAATACTATCTATGAAGTCGGAAAAAAATCACAAAGCTAGGAAATACAGAATAATTTGATTGTTTCAATCATAGTAATAATCCCTCATCGCACAGATTATTTTGTCTCAGCTACAGTAAGTACAATCACTGGGTGTTTAACTACTGTGATGGATATTTAAAACAGAAAAGTATGGTAAATAATTGTACTGCTTGCCTCGGTTTATTCTTTCGATGAAGTTTAGCTAACCTGGAGGTTTATCACCCCTGACCGAGTCATCTGTGGTGATTACAATATTAGCAGAGCTATGAAACATGAGCTAAGCAACACCAATATGTAACTACCCTTCACATTTTAAATGCACAGTGTAGAATTATGTTTTTTTTTGTTTTGTCTAACAGCTGTAGTACATAATTAGCTGCAGGGTTTTTAACTCTGATGATGATTTAAATGCAGGTGCCGTAAAAATGATGCAGCAGAACTTACTTCAATCATATGCTGCAACTAGTACTTTACAGTTTAATGCTGCATATCCAAAAGGTGGAACAAACATTGACCTTTTCATATTTCCCAATATAGACTCCATATCTGAGTTCCACGGTTCCATCAGCAGAGAACAGAGACTCTGTGAAATTGGTCTTGGTTAGGTCTCGTTCAATAGATGAGAGAGGGCCAAATTGTAGATTATAAAGTGTTATGAGCAAGAGGGAATATGAAATAATTCACATGTTTATATAGGTAGCTAATGTGTACTGTATGTATGTGTGTGTGTATGCAAATAAAAGGGAGATGCTCTTTCCCACCCACCAGGAAAAGCAATCTGCAGTGTCTCAGGCAGGTGAAGTGCTCTGATGTTCTATTTAAAAGCCAGGGTCACTTTTCTCATCTCCGCTGCAAATTAGAGACGTGACCTTACCGCTCCGCATGGCTCCAACTCTTTCCCTCTCCTCTGCTGATCCTCACGTCATAATTGTGCCGAGAGACAGACGTGGTGTGAACAGGTAATGTACACAAACAGAACGCAAACCCTTTGTACGGTGCTGTACTAAAACAGTATTACATTTCCTCGAAAGCACAGTGCTCGCATTGGAGCGTACCTTTATTAAACTAAGAATCATCTCATTAGGGCTAATGATCACCGTGGCGTGTTGGGCTTTAATCTGTGTTCATGTATTGATGTTGCATTCTTGTAAGATATTATTATTAATAATAATGTAGCACACACTGGCTGGCCATGGCACTGTAAGCTGTTAAAGGGACAATTTGACATTTTTGCCTCGGTTCTAGCGGTTGTACGTTTTAGAGACTTTTTTTAATTATTTTTTATAAAAAACGGATGTTAATTAGGTTAACTAACTCTATAACTGCCACTGCTCTATGAACTGTCTTTGCACTGTTGGAAATGGATAATTTATGTTTTTGGTTCATACTGAATCCCATCATTATTTATAGTCTGGTGATGTGTACAGTAGCCGAGAAAACTTTAATTTGTTCCTGCTTTATAAACATTTCTACACCCAACAATTACCTCCAAGATGCTAGCATGGCAGCTACATTCACTAAAAGGTGTCTGACTCATTTGTTGTGTCTATGATGTACACAACACATAGTCATGAATACAGATCACTGTTGCTCTGAAGATTCCTGACACCTGTAGTTTGATCAGCAGCACCTGTTGTTTGGCTACAGACAGATGGGGGATCTGAGTGGTGAAAAAAAGGAAACAGCAATTGAGTGTGTTTTCAGGCCTTACCAGGTGAGGGGGGCTGGATCTTGACCTGCTTCCTGCTGTCCCCCCCGGCCATGGTGCTGCTGTCTGCCGGCGGCTCCTCCCCCCGCTCCATCTTACACTCGTAGGCAAACAGGAACTGGATGTACTGCTTCTTCAGAGAGCTGGCGGAGGTGCTGGATGTGCCCACGTTCAGGGTGGAGGACAGCTCGCGCCACTTCTTGTTCTTGTTTACCTGAGTGGATGAGGGTTTGAGGATGAGGAATTAAGACATAAATAAGTCAAATCATGTCCTATTTCTTCATCTTTATGTATCCCTGCAGCATCAGCCAGGCTCTTGTAATTTTGCCTGGAGTATGGTTGACCACACCCTGCTGAATTAAATCAAAAATAATGAAGTCCATGGCTGTACATTTCATGTTTTTGTACTTAATCTACATGTGTCTGCTACTCTTACCCATACTTTTCACATCGCTGTATCTAGACACCCATGAACACATATTTTTACTCTGGGGCTGTTATTTAAAGGTTCTCAGTTGCAACTAGCAGCAACAATGTTTGGGAAGGTCATTTTCCTTTTCAGCACGACAAGGTCTGAGTACAACTTTTTTCTAGGTGCAGTGTGGAATGGATTGACCAGCATGCACACAGCCCGGACCTGAACTGGAACCTTATTTCATAACACCAGTGGCTACCTCATTCATGTTATTGTGGCTGAAAGGGACACAATCCCTTCAAGTTGTGTGAAAAGCCTTCGTAGAAAAGAAGAGGCTACTGTAGCAAAATAAAATGCCCAAGGTTTTGAAATAAGATGTGTAATGTTTGCATATCTATATACTTTTGGGTTTGAAGTGCAATGCCGTTTCCTGCTACCATCGCAATGCATATGCCATGCTGGTTTAATACACAGCACATTGCTGATACACGTTGACTGAAGGCTTATCAACTGTTTAATCTGTCTGTTATCATCGCTATGGAGTTCATGTTTTTGCCCCCCCCCCAAAAATATCAAGTGTGTTTTCTAAACGTTACCATGGCGAGGCCTCCTATCTCACGAACAGCTATGTAGAGCTTCCACAGGTCCAGGGGCTTCTTGCCCACAGTGGGAAGCTGAGCAACAGGCGTGCCCCTCTCCTCCATGAAGGTCAGGTATCGCTCCACCCAGCCCCGCCTCTCCGGCTCCACACCAAGATCAAAGAGCCGTGTGATTCGCTCCCCACTGAGAGAGGAGGAGTTGGGGTTGGGTTTCTGGTGAGAGATGCAGAAAAAAAAGTTAGCTTATGGAAATGAAAATGTCCTTAATCAGCTACGTTCATGTTGAAACAGTTGAAACACATGTGAAGCCAATTTAAAACCTGCATTATTTCCAATGGCCAGTAGGTGGTTCCATTCATCGCAGTAAGAAGTCATTACAAAGTTGTATAGAAGTCTATAAAAAACTACCCTTCTTCACACTTAAAGGTATTATCTCAGTAAATGAGTTTTTAATGAGTTTATGGGCTCAATCAATAGATTCAAGTCTTCTTTAATAAGGCTAAATGTTTATTTTGTAAATGATTTTCCCATTAGTAAGATAATACATAAACAAAGCTCGGTATGCTTCAGGGCGTAGCTTCTTTGAGATTGACAGGTCGCTTAGACATTCGGCCTGTCAGTCAAAATAGATGAGTAGCAATGCGTATCTATGGCACTGAATACATTGTTAAATAGCTGTGGAATGTTTTTTTTTTTTTTTGTCTTAAATCTCTTTTACAGCATGTTTTCAGTTGATGAACGTTAACTTTAACATTTATTTTTCAGCGTTCGATTGTACGAAGAGACAGAAAAACATTCGGGTGCTTTTCCAGTAAATGACATCCTATTTTGTTTTAAGCATGTAAGACTGTCTCCAAAACATATTGATGACGTCACGGTGGCGTCGTTGACTTCTCATGTGCGGTTTATGGCTGTCTCCTATTGCAGTTTTCTGCTTTACCAACAACTCTCTCTTCCCACAAGGATCATTAAAGTTTAATCCCATATTTACAAATTCTGAAGTAGGCCCTTGGTTCAATGACCAAGCAAAACAAATTCTAAATCTTTAGAGCATTGTGTTAAGTAAGCAGCTTGTGTTTACTTCCAAGTTCATTCACAGCACATTTATGTCCCTCAAGTTCGAATTGGTGGACAAAGTGTAATCTTACCAAGACATGTCTGGCTTCAGTCCAGGTTTAAAAATATTTCTGTAGTCTAAGAACCAGCATTTGATCATGTAATTACACAATAATCCTTCAGTCATAAATAAATAAATCAAACTAACAGCTTATACTGACATTATTGTCTATAAAGGGAATTTAAATGTGTTTCACAGATCATTAATTCTCTTGGTTTGGTTTCTGTGTCAATATGTTCATGTCATTCCTTTACTTATCCAGTAAATACACACACCCATCCAGCCAATAGTGATTGAGCCTTTAGTACTTACGGGGCTGGAGGGGGTTTTGAGGGGCCAGGGGGGGCTGCTGATGCTGTCACTGTCGTCTCCGTGGTAGGAGGACAGGCTGGCTGGGCTGGGGGAGAGGGGGGAGGGCACGGGCAGCGCACCCCCTGGCGTGGTGGGCTGCGACACACACTGCTGGGAGCTGCTGCTGTTGCTGTAGCCGTCCTGTAGCTGCTGGGGGGGAGAGGAAGAGGACTACAAGTTCATTTCTATAAAAGAATCACTGTTGCCTTCCACACACCTCCTCACTATCAGTATAACACAATGGTATGATCCTCTACTCTCACAACAACAGTGAGGTCAGACTATGAGTTTTCAGCAGAAGATAGAACACATTGAGTCGATGTGTGTGTGCAAGGAAACTGAGACGTGTGTGTTTGAGTTGTAATGCAAGTTCATAATGTGTGTCAAGTAAATCTCAATTCCACTTCAGTATTAAGATTTTAAGTTGTATTCGGATCCCACTACATTTTAGAGGATTACATTTATGTGTCAGCTATAGTCACTATAAACACTCGGAAAATATGCTCCTAAAGCTTTATAAACAAATGATATACCATTTATAAATACTGTATAAATAATTTGAACCGGCTTATTAAATGTAGCTCTCCAGGTAAATGTAGGTGAGTTCAAAATACATGTTTTTCCGGTAGTCATGTTAAACAACTTTTTAGATTGAATTGTTTATATTCTGATACAACAAGAAAAAGCTGACATTCTGTAATTTTCGTTGAAAAAATATGTATTCTCCTTGTACTGCCTGTCCGACTGTAGCTGTTTTCTGCTTATCTCCTACCCTTCTGAAAAGAGCCCAGTCTTCCCTGATTGGTCAGCATTTTTGGGTTTAGCTGTCAATCAATGCAGATGCACATCAAGCTTTTGGCGCAAGGCTAAGTTAATTACAAAAGAACAAGTACCTTCAAACTACTGAAATAAAGCCAGGGGGACAGTAAGTGTGTGTGAGGAATCTGCATTCTGCCATTGTGTCTTTTCAACATGCATAAATGCAGACCAGCATGTAGCAGATCATCTTTATTCCATATTCCATACATGTGTGTGTGTGACATTCCATGTTAGTTCCCATCAGTGCATGTGAGTGTGAGTCTTGTCCTTCAGTTCATGTGTACATTCGCCAGTGTGTGTGTGTGTGTGTGTGTGTGTGTGTGTGTGTGTGTGTAAGTGTGTAAGTGTGTAAGTGTGTGAGAAAGAGACTGCAAAAAAAGGAACAACAGCTTGACAAGTGCTTCTGTTCTGTGTACAGAATGCTCATGTCAGCAAAACCTTATCTCTTTCCCTTTACCCCCCCCCCCCCCCCCCTCTCTCTCTTTCTCACTCTCTTGGCAGACAGATCATCTCTTTTGGGAGCACTGGGGGTCTTTCTGGCTGCTCTGACTGCCTTAAATAATTCAAAAGGCCCTACTACCGTAATCAGCAAAAGAAAAGACAGGGATTTGGAGGGAAAAGACGTGTATTGGATGTGATGGAGGCGTGTGAGTGTGTTTGTGCACGTCTGTGTGAGTGTGTGGCTGAGGGAGAGAGAGAGAGAGAGAGAGAAAAAGGGGTTGTTAAGCAAAAACAAGAGGAGGGGGAAGAGAAGAGCAAAGAGCAGAGTTCTGTTGTTGCTGAGCTGAGCCAAGCCGAGCTGCAATTGTAGGGCAAAATGAGAAGTCAGCATTGTGTATTGGGACATGTGTGTGTTTGTGTGTATGTGTGAGGCACTGAGGAAGTAGTGTTACGAGAAGGATGGTGTACATGTGCTTGTGTGTGTGTGTGTGTGTGTGTGTGTGTGTGTGTGTGTGTGTGTGTGTGTGTGTGTGTCTTACTGGAAAGGCCAGTCTGCGGCTTCTTGTCTTTTCGTTATATAAAATAAATTAACAAATATGCCTGTGCGTGTGAGTGTGAGTGTGTTTTGTTTTTGCAGCTCGGGCTGCCAAAACATCAGTAAGGAGAGAGTGCTGGGGGCTAAAACAAAGCGAGGAAAACATTAGGAATGGTAAATGTTAAACAAATCATTAGATATGGCGAGAAAACAAGAGAGAAACATCCCACTGTGCTGAGGCAGCATATGCTGATCAGATTCGGTTTGCTTCATTAGGGGAGAAAGATCAAAAAACACAACAAAACAAAAATAAAAAACGAGAGGGAGAAAGGGAATTGCAGAAAAAAGATTGCAAGTCGATAAAGGTCAACTGTGTACCTTTGGTTTGTGAGGCTCGTTGGCGGGAACGCTGTCGTCTTTTACGTCCGCCTTCGCTTTCACATCAGGGCTCATCATCCCGTCTCCCGACATTCCCATGTCTCCTTCACGAAGAATAAGGAGACATTTAATAAAACAAACATTTGAACCGATATTTCACAAGCAAAAACAGCTGAGATATATAATCAAAGCATCTATGGGCAGGCAAACTTTGTTGGAATGAAGATGTTTACTTAGATTCAACATGATTTAAGATCCTAAAATGACCGTGGCTTCTTCCTGTGTGCTGAAACCTGCATGATAATAGTTTGTATAATGTCAAAGACAGAGTAAAATTCTTTAAATTATATTTAATTATCCTCTTTCTTTCTGTCTTCTCCAGGGGCCTCTAAAGTCTGTCCAGCATTCATCTCAAAGGGACAATTGCAAAAGAAACATGTCAAAATACTTCTGTTTAGAAAAGACATAGAGAAAGAGGTAAGACTCCACTTAAAGCCAGCCAGCGCACTCCTACCTTGCTGGCTGCACATCCTCAGATTTGGGAGAATTCATTTGGGATGTTGTCAAATATTTAAAGTGGCAACAGAATGGGAAGGTTAGCATTCAAGAGATGTTGTCTGACGAGAACACTTGTTTCTGTTTTCAAAGACATTTGTGTACAAGGTTTCTAATTGAAGAAGAGCTGAGGCCCTTAAAGACTCCTTTCCGCCGTGCCAGCTGCATATTTTTCTTATCAACAGAAAGAAGAGATCCTTGAATACAAGGCTCTGCGTCTTTATTTTTCCCTTGTGAGCGGCGGCACAGTGGGAAAACTAATGGCTTTTTACCGTGCCCAGGGGCAAACCAGATGAGTTTTGAGGAACCTTGGCACTGTAATTCGTTTGAAGTTTTTCCAAATGTCACGCATTCTGATATTCGGTTTTAAATAAAAGGCGCTTTTCATTTAGGGCGCCACTGTGAGGCGCGTTTAGCAACAATGCAGCGGGGTGAAGGGCTGTAAGACAGAGTGATGCACCACATTAATCTTTGCTCACTGGAGGGCCAACTCGACAGGAGCTCTGAGAAAGTTACTCTCTTGATTTCTTAGCCTTTTACTCTCTTTCACCCCTTTTAGTTCACTCGCTTTCTACTTCTGCTCGGAATGTAAACAATCCTGAGCGAGTTCAGCAGTACATTCAACATAAACACATAGGTCAAACTCCAGAAGATCAGAGTACCCTTTCACATCAACTCACACAGCTGTGCCTGTTTCTTTTCTATTTATCAACATGTATTCTGTACATTGCAATGTAAGATAAGTAAGTCAATATGGGGTCAAATATATGTGTGTGGGATGTAGGAGGCTGACAGCTGTATGAACAGGCTTGGCTAGGAAGGGGAAATCCATCTACGTCTTTGTCCTGGAGGTGGCTAATCCACATTTCTAGCCCGCCCGGCCTTGAAAAAAAGGAGTTTAATTCAGAGTGTGAAAATGCCTCTGCTTTTACTGCTGGCAATCCTGGCTTACATTCATGCTGTATTGTGGGAATTCAGCATTTTATTGTTGATATAAAATATTCAACAAACTGTTTTTTGTGTATATAGTATAACTATATAAAAAACTTTATAAGCTGTGTGATCAAATGTTCGGCAGCTCCAGACAAACTTTATTTGGGTGCCAAATGGCTCTTTTGATAGTAAAGTTTGCTGACCCCTGCCCTAGGACATATGGACCATAACTCTGTTGGTTAGCATTGAGCTAGTATACCTGAAGGTGGCATGTTGTATGCTGGAGCTTGTGCGTTGCCCATGGCGGAGCTGTTGTTCCCCGTTGGCTGGCTGTAGGGCACAGTCGTAGCCATGGTGCTGGCCTGGCTGATGCCCTGGCCCTGATAGCTGCCCTGCCTACCACGGAAAGAGAGGAGAGATGTTAGTGGAATTGGGAGAGACAAATCCAGTTTGGATTCACAATGTAATGACAGGCTGTGGAGAGATAAGTGGGTCACAGTGAAAGCTGCAGAAGAACAGAAGTCACAGAATCGTACGAAGATGATGATAGTTGGCAGTCTAGCGCTGCCATGCTTAGTGTTGTAGTAAAAACCGAGTAGCATGTATGTCTGAAAGTCAGAATGAAAGCACAGAAAACCACATATTCCTGATCAAACAAACAACTCCTCCAAAAGATTGAAGATGTGCATGTGGCATCAGAAACAAAAAAAACTCTCCGATCCTCTATTTGCTCTTTTTTCTCCTATAAATCCCCCTCCCCTCCCTTTCCCCCCCTCTCCCTCCCTCTCCCACAAGTCATAATTTAACTAATTAAGGTGTGCTTTTGGAGAGGATCATGTTATTTGTTGCCATGGCAACGGAAGAAGTCAATCTCCCTCCCTCAGCCTCCCTTCCCTCTCTCTGTCTCTCAGGCGGCTCATCACATGGTGTCGCAAGTGACATCAGTGGCGCTTATCTTCAACCTGCTGAACGCTAGCCATCCACGTGTGTCTGTGTGTGTGTGTGTGTGTGTGTGTGTGTGTGTGTGTGTGTGTGTGTGTGTGTGTGTGTGTGTGTGTGTGTGTGTGTGTGTCAGAGTCTGTGTGATTGAAGGCAACGTCTATCATTGCATGCCAGGCAGGCCAAAGCCAGTGACACAGGGACTGAAAGGGAACACCGTGTTTGGAACAATTTGGTCTATCTCCTGCTGACTCAAGATTATCTCCTGGACAACCACATAAAAAAGGATTTGGAGAAAAGGAGGATAGAGACGCAGAGAGAAAATGTGAGACGAAGAGAGAGAGAAAAGCCTAAAAGAATGAATGAACAAGAGATGACAGGTGGAAGACTGAGAATTAAATTAGAAAATAAAGCAGGCAGAGGAGGGTTGAGAAGGGAAAGACAAATGAGGGAATAGTTGTTATGGTAAAGAACGAATAAATTAAGGAAAAAAGCAGGTAGGCTGGAAGACATCCTTGGGACGGTGTTGGGCGATGACAGACCACAAGGAGGAGTTTTTGGCCCGAAATGCAAGTTTTATGCAGACTGAAATAAAAAATCTATTGGGATTTATGTCAGTCAATTCCCTCCTAACTGGCATAATTCTCTCTTTCACTCACTCACACAGACACATAGTGTAATACCTCGTGTTGGAACTGATACACATAGCCTAAGAGGAGGGATTGGCTTGGTAAACCTCCCCATAATCTCATCTCACAGATGTAATTAGTCATAGAGCACGGCTGATGATACATATGTAATCCCTCTATGGGGGCCGAGGTGCACAGGGGAGCTCCATGGCAAAGAAACAAGCTCACACCAAATCCACGCTTATCTGGCCCCATTTCCCTATAACGGAGGGGGGGGAATTGAGACTCCTTCCTTGCTGCCTACGTGTTCCCTAAAAAGCTTTCTGTGAGTCAAGACACGGAAATAAATGTACCTTTTGATCGTTGCAACTTCTCTCTCAAGTGAAAAATGTACGCTGCAGCAAACTCCCACAAAACAGAGCGCAGATAAGCCAGCCAGGAAGAAAAGTTGCTAAAATGCCCTCGAACCTAATTTATCCATACTGTACAGTAAAAACGCCCCTCACCCACCTTGAGCGATATATATGCAAAAGCTCTCATGTGAATGGTGAAATACCCAAATCAACAACAACAACAACAGTGGTTGGAGGTTTTCAACTGTGGCGTTCTCCCATTATGACTAATTCATGTCATAAAAAAGCCCATTAGAAAGCACTTGATGGAGGCATTGCACAGCGTTTAATCACACTTAATATATGCATGTGCCGCTTTCGGGGAGGGGGGGGGAGAAAAAAAACGGCATAGCGCATTCATCTTGCTCTCAGGCACCTTTGTGCCGGGAAAAAAAAAACCCATCCTGTTGCCGCAGAGAGAGAAAGAGCGAAGGAAGATAGAGGAGAGATGGATATAAAGGGAGAGGAAGAAAAGAAGAAGGGAGCTGGAGAGAGAAGGAGGGATGGAAATGAAGGCAAGAAGAAGCCTGAGTAGTGTGTGTATGAGTCCCTGGTGGACCGAGGGGGGCCGTATCTGCAGCTCAGGGCCCCAGAGCTGGAGGTAATCGCTGTTCCATGAGACTGAGCCGAGGGAACACACTCTCACTGAGAAACATCTTCCTAGCACCATCAGGCCAGTGCACTCTCAGTTTGTTGTCAAGGAGTGGCCTGAGGAGAGAGAGAGAGAGACAGGGAGGCTCTTCTTTCTCTGAGTTTTAAATTTTTCCTTAAGAAAAGTTAGTGTGAGAGTTTTGACACCACATTACAGCGAAGATGTATACACAAATTCTGCTTTGGTGTTCGATATTTTGTTCGGCCTGTCCAGACACCATTAGGGCAGAAAAGCCTTCAACTCACACGGTTGAAATAAAAACCTTTTAAATACGTTCATAGAAACAAAAAACTGTTGCCTTCTCACCACACGCGCACGCACGTACGCACGCACGCAAGCACACACCTATCTCCTTTTGCTATTCAGTCCACATGTGTGAAGGGCAACAGAGAAGGCCGTGTGGGCAGTGTGTGTGTGTGTGTGTCGGTGTCTGAGCGTGTCCTTGTGTTCATGCGCAGGGTGGGCGCTGTTGCCAAGGGGATGCCATGGTTACGAGGTGCCAGCCAACCAGCTGACGGTGTCTCTCTAGAAGTGGCAGCGCCTTTGTCCTTCATTCGTGGTGACAGGCCGCGCCGATGCCTCCCAGCGCTGCTAACTGGACGAGACAGCAGAAGCGCTGGGACTGCAGAAGTGTGTGTGTGTGAGTGTGTGTGAGTGTCCCTGCCTATCGATCCCTCTGCTTTGTGTGTGTGAGTGTGTAGAGTGTGTGTAAGAAAGTGAGAGAAAAGAGAGCCAGAGAGAGGCTGCTGGATGGAAGGATGGAGTGGATCGGCTGGAGGCCATGAATTATATATGGACCCAATCTGTTCTTAGGGCAGCTTGGGCTCATAGCTCCTCCAAACTCCTGACTCAAATCACCACACACACACCCTCACACACACATACAAAAAGGGAGGGGCGGCAGAATAAACCCCCCACAAAAAATAAAAGGACAGCTTTTAACATATTAAATCCAGAGAAAAGCTACTCCCTCCTTCCCGAACATCAAACAGCTCAGGATGGATAGAGGAGAAGCCATTTATTTTGCCCATCTAATGAAAGCAGAGCGCGCCGCAACACTGCCAAGACTGCGAGCGACAAAGCACCACAGGCAGCATCCCTCGTTCTTGACATTCAAGCAGTGCTCTTATTTATTTAGCAAATTTACTTACTAAGGAGGTCAGAAATGAATTATTTGGCAAGGATTTGCCTGGGAGCACTCTCCTTTCCTCTCTTCTCCCCTCTTCCAACATTTTTTTCCCTTCAATTTCCCTTTGATTTACGACTTTTCTTTCTGAGCTTTGCTCTTCTTCTACTAAGTGCTTATTTTTTCAGACAGAGCCCGTTCCTATAGCTCCAGGAACTTTGTGTAGAGTGTCGCCGGCAGCGCTGGAAAGTCATTTGAAAAGCCAATTCTGTCCTCAGAAGCTGCTGCCAAGAAAAGCTTATACCTTTTAATACTTCCTGTTCTCTTCTCTTTTCCAAAAAAAAAAGAAATCCCTAACATCAATCCACAGCCCCGGAAAAATGTTGTACCGTACCTTTCTTCAAAAACAATCTTGTACCTCCTCCACACTGACAGGGTTAGACACCGTCCGTGTTATTTGTGCATAACATGTCAGAGTTTTTACACTGCAATTCATCATACTGACAACTGGCAGCAAGGGAAGCAACTTTCCATACAACCAATGCTATTTCCCACTGTCATATTATCATTTCAGGAAACCACTATACATTTTTCAAAATATTAAAATAACTGGCATCAATAGAATCTAGATTACAATGAATTATGATTAGGAGGTTTTTTAGTGTCCGCTATTTGACACATTTAACTTAAGGTAGAGCAACAGGGTTCTTTTGTACGTTTCCTAAACTCTAGACCCTGTTTCCCCTCAACCACCAATTAACTTGATTCACCGATAAAAGTGGGACATTTGTTTCTGATTCCAGTTGGAGGTTGGAGGCCTCGAGGGAAGAACACACTCATGCCAGACTTTATGAAGATTTAATCACGACCTACGCCTGCAGTCATGGGATACCAGAAGTGGCCCTCCTCTGCTCATTTGGCATTCTTTTCACTCAGCGTAATGAAGCTGGAGTGTGGCTACTAATGTGTGAGGGTGTGTGTGAATCAGGGGAGGTTTGATATTGGGTATGAGAGGTGGAAATGTAAAAGGTTTATTGGTGGGAATGTAGTGAGGAACATTCAAGAAGAGAAGAAGAAGAGACCATCCAATGACATCACCCGCTAACTAGCCCCATGATTTGGAGGCTAGGCAGCGCGGTGGCTGTGGCAGTTCACTCTGGGTTGGTGGATCAAAGAGTGAAGCTAGACATGTGCTACGACTAACAACTTGTTTCTCAGGCGGAGAGGAACTAGGTCTGAATGTTTCTGAATGTTGCACTGAGATCTGGAGAGCAAACGGGGGACTGGAGCCTTTAACTGCAGGTTTTTCGGAGGCCAATTTTCTCCTGATCTCCGTCAGATGTTCTAAAGTGGGATCTGAGGAAGAAAAACATAACAAGGCCGTGCTGGAGACAGCGGAGAACAAAAAGCAAATTGGGAGGAAGAAAGACTGAGGGAGATAAAACAGTCTGGGTAGGATAACAGAGCTGCACAGAGAGGGAGAGGGCGATACAGTTGGGAGAGTTGGTAAAAAGAGTGAAACAGGTGGGAGGAGAGAACAGAAACAGACGGGGACGGATGAAAGAGGGAAAATGAGCGATAGCAGGCAAGGAAAACTCTAAGAAGGAGACTGGCAGCACAGAAACGGGTTTGCTCTCCAAAGATGCCCATCTTAACAAACATTTAGGTTGTTTTTTTAAAAACTTCAAATCAGTCAAGGCTACAACTAATTCATAATTGCTTTAAATAAATATTATGAATAAAGAAGACAGCTGCATTATGACAATTACATTTTTTTTAACACTGATTTGCTTCGAAAACTACAGTCTCACCTAGTTTTCAGTTTTTTTTTTAAACAAGCGAGATACCAGTCTTTTGTTGTTCTAAGCCGTTTCTGTTCAGTTGTACTCCAGTGCAAGGCGAAGTAATGCTTTGTTTTGAATAAATACGATAGCAATTTGGAAGTTTACAAGTGCAGCCATCGCAGCCAAACAGAAAAAAGAGATTTCCGACATAAAATCAAAAGTAAAAGTCATCATCGCACTGGACTTTTTGCTTAAAATGTGAACTTTGCGGTGCAGTAAAAACACAACACATTAATGACGCCGAACAAAGGCAAGAAACACAGGGATGTTTTCACAGTCGATGGTAGATCAGAAGGGATCACTGAGAAGAGAAATGAGTGAAGACACACACACTTTGCAGACAGATATGTAAACAAACAGAGTGGCACAGAGAGCCCTTTCCTCCGGCAGCGCCACAGCGAGCGTGCGACACCTTTCTGAAGACTTGCTGAATGTGAGGAGAGACTGACAGCCAGTCTGATTGGTCCCAGCAGTGGGGATCATGTCATGCCACTTCTTATTGACAGAACAGCCATCTCCTAATGGCTCGGCCAGCATTTGCATTGCTGTGTGTGACTGTGTGTGTGTGCGTGTGTTTGGCCCTGCTGATGCACGTAATTAATCACACATACTGCCAGCCTCCCCGCAAAATGCCAACACAGTGCACACAACAATCTAAAACTCAGTGAGTGTGTCCGTGTGTGTGTCCGTGCATCATGCTGCCTGCGCTCACTTGTTGCCATGACTAAGACGCGCTGATGATGATAATGATGACTACAGTCATGATGCTGAAGGTGATGATGGCAATTACAATGATCGCATGACGACTCCTCTTGTTTTGTTTATAGAGGGAGCTTGTGAGAAATATCATCACGATCACTTTCAGTTCTGTTTAGCATGAGACATTTCCATAGCAGTTTGACACACAAACACATTCATGAAGACAGTTTATTTTTAAAAGGATAGGTTGGATGTTTTAAAGTGGGGTTGAATGATGTGCTTACCCGTAGTCAGTGTAATACCTACAGTAGATAGCAGTTGGCAGTTTTGAAAAACATAAGTACTGAAAGCAAATTAATGAACTGTTGAGGACGTGGGCACCACAACTTATATTAGACGATCAATATCACGCTATATTTCCAATATTATCACAGCATTACTTGCCATAACACAGCCCTTTCTGCAGGGGAACTGAAGATGTTTCACTAAAGCCAACAGACCCCACTAAAATAAAACAGTATTTTTTGTCTTCTCGACGTATGTGTGACTTTGATTCGTTTTGATTCAACAAAGTGAAATATTAACCCAAACAAACTTTCGTATCGAGGCAAAAGTAGACCAGCATCTACCATATTCTGTAAGATAAAGTTACTGTATTTTTCAGTGGGGTCGTGTTGCTTCAGCAGGAAAAACGGCTTCAGTTCGGATCAAAGGGATGTCTCCTGGAAAGGTAATGCGGTGAACAATAACAGCAGTACATGCTTTGCTGCTGTGGTGGTCATCCTGTCTGTGACTCAAACTTGGTCGTGCTGACCACAATCTACATAATACACTGATACAGAACCTCATACAAGCATATCCTTACTATCCCTTTAAAGGCATGCACACAAACATCACGATGGGGGTGGACCTACCTATGGTGCTGTGAATGTGAGGGTTGCAGGATGGGTGGATGGTGAGGTCTGAGTGGAGGGGAAGGTGGTGGACAGGTGGAGGTGGGGTAGGGTGCAGGCCAGTGGGTGGAGGTGGGATGACGTGGCTGCATCTGGGCTTGGGACCTCGCGTAAGGAGGCCGCCTGAAGACCGGCACCAACAGACCCCCAACAAAAACAAAAACTTCATTGCTAGCTCACAGTCTCCAGTTGGAGTCATGCATCATCAGAAATAGGAATGAACATTGTCAAATGTTCATTCGCCACTACAGCATGCAAAATGCTGGCACCCATGATGCATTGTTAGACAAACCCCCGCACTGATAGGAGGAAGCGCAGAAATCCACACTTCCTCTCAGAAGACGGCCATGTTTCCACTAGATCCCCCGGCAGGGTTCAGCAGTATTTTACTGCCCACACAATCCCACAACAGCCCTGGTCTCCGATGCTGCACACACGCTTACATTTAAAATTCCAACACTGATGGAAACATAATATTAACTCATATGCTGTTAAAGCATCAAAGTGCTTTGTGTTTGTGATAAGGTTCTTGGTGTCACCTCGGTCTCTGGTGTTTTCACAGTTAAATCTGTGGTTTGCTTTTCCTTCTTTTATGTTTTGACAGTGCTGTATTCAACCCATACAGTCGGCTCACAGGCCAATATCTCTACAACAAATGGCACTTGGTGTATAGTGCCAGCTATCAAAATGTCAGGCACTTTATGAGATGTGTGAAAATAGGGATGGCTCGGCAAATGGCTCACAGAAGCGTGGAACCCCAGAGAACGACTCATGCCTTCACGTCTGAAAAGACTCATGGAAGAAAAAGACAAACTGTGTGGCCCAGAAACTCTCTCCGGTGCTTTTCAGCCCTCCTCCCAATACACAACCGTGCAGAGAGAGTGATGTAAGATAGAGAAGAGATGCTTACCAGCCCCTATTCAAGCATACCAATATTGCTTTTCAATTGATGTACAATAGTAGTTAAGGTTAAGACGATCAATAGTTGTTTGTATTCTTTAACTGTGGTTCCCATTGAGGTAAAAAATGTGCCATGTGTCTTCAATACAAATAAAAACACTATTTCTAAAATAGGTTCAGTCCTACAGAAGAATTTGAGCCTTTTCTTTTTGAAAGCGATGTAATAATAATATTGAATCTATTCTTCTGTCTTTTGCCAAGATCAATTTTAGGACCTAATAGCATAGGAGCAATTGTAATGAATGATATGAACATATACAGACACTTACACTATGGCTGTTACAACATCAGACTCTCGATTATTGTGGCCGGAATAATTTGTTAAAAAAATATCATGATATCTTTAGCAAATTTTGAAGAAAAATAAATAATGCAATATGTAAAAGTCACAAACACACAAACTTGGGTGAAAACTTACAGCCATAAAGAAACACATGTTAATCTACAAAACTCAGAGACAGTGAGCCCCTGGGTGCTTGCTCTCACCTGTTGTGTGTCGAGTTGGCAGATCCCGGCATGGCAGCTGCTGCTGCCTCCTGGGCCTTGCGGTTAGAGCTACCCAAAGAGGGAGGGCCCATCCCGGGCCCAGCTGGCTGGGGCATGCCGGGGGAGCTGGGGGCCATGGGTGGGTACACCCTGTTCTGGCTGCCTGCGCCATGGCTGCGTCCCACAGGTATGGGCTGGCCGGGCCCCTGGCCGTGCATGGGGCTGCTAGCATTCATTCCCAGACTGTTGGTCATGCCGGGGCCGGGGCCGCTGTAGCCGGTACTGGCAGGCCCACTGTAGTTGGAGGACCGAGGGTAGTTACCTGGAAGAAGACAACATATGAATGAGCCTTACATCTTTGGAAAAGTAGGTAGTTCACAGACAAAGTCACTGAAAAAGGTAAAACATGGCTGCTGGCAAATTGAGACATTTCAATGAAGTGAAATTGATAGATTGCTTATAAAAATGACACAAACTGGGTCCTGTATTTTCTTTTCATTAAGGAGAAATTGAGTTAATCAATACACCTATACCTACAGTGATGCATACAACAATTTCATCAATCAATAACATCATTTGGTGGGAGATAAAAAATGAGGAATGTGACGTGCAAAACCAAATTCTGATTCATAACCTTTTTAACCTCCAGCAAAGGCCAGAAAAAACGAAATGGGGTGCGGTGTGGTGACATTTTCCTCCGTTGCAGGTTGCTGGATTGCCCAGGGAACAATTGTCAAGCTTAAGACCGACTTTGTGAAACACTTGAGAGGAGCTCTAATCTGCAGTAAATGCTTTTTTTGCTGCCCTGGAGGGCCACACGGATGCGCTGCCAGGAGCTTTCCTAAGGCACACTTAAACCCCTCCATTTTGGCTCTAAAAGCCGCGCTCGACTCCAACACCAGCTGCAATAAGAGCTGTAAGAGAATCACCATGCTGTCAAAAACAACATGTACATACATTTAGGCACAATAAAACACACCTAGTGCACATGTAAGTGCAGCACACTCCTACACACGGAGCACATCTCATTGTATTCCCTCTGCAGGCACTGGGCCGTTTCAACTGTGATATCCCCTCCCTGGGACAAATCCCCTGCAAGATAGAAAGGAAAATGTGGCATCCAGCATTGTGAGGGGGCTATTTATTGTGATTTGATTAAGGGTGCTTTAGTTGGGCCTCACTGCTTAATCCTCTGAGAATATGTCTGGAAAAGGGGATCAAGTCCCTTTAAAACCTGAAGGCTTTTCCACACGCTCAGATGAGGGAACGTTGAATGACAATATTCACCAAGAAAATGTCTCCGAAAATGGAAATGGCTTCTGAGTGTCCTCGAGCTGCTTCAGTGAAGACACTTTCCACATGACATAAGCCTGCGAGTCCAACAGAGGGATATCGCGGGAGGAAGCAGCGGAGGGTGGGGGCGGAAAGAGAGGAAGACAGGCAGACAGAAGGTGGGGGGAGAAAACTGCTGCCTCCCCTCCTCAAGCCCCGAGATAGGATTTATATTGAATCAAAATAAAAGTCTTTCCCATAAAAGTCAGCAGCATCGGTTGAATTTGTCCAGAAATTGTGATGAAATCTACTGTGGGAGATAGGAAAAGAAGAAGCGGATTATTTCTGGGGAGGCTTTGGTGAGTCGGTGAGCTGAGTACGGCTGACACCTGTCAAGGGTTTTGGGGCTATAATAGGGAAGCGTTCAGGAAGAAAGGATGTCTGCTAACGAACACAAGAGGATACATATGGTACACACTAAATGTGTGTGAGTGTCCATCTGCTTGTCTGTGTGGATGCATATATAATACTTCTGAGACCTTGGAACTAGTGAAAGATACATTTCCATGTTTCTTGCACTCTAAAGTGACTGTGCTGTGGGAAACACTGGGAGCGGTGCCCTGCAGCTTCCTTCCCTTCACTTGGGTGGACGGTTTGGAACAAGGCCGTAGTCAGCGACCTCTCTCAGCTCTTTGGACAGCTGTTGAGCCCCATGTCATGGCGACCTGCCATACGTTCTCAATGGCTTGGGCGGACACTTTGTGGTTGTTGGCCCTCGTGACAAACTGAGGCTTCAGCACACCTCCCGGGGAGTTGTTTATATCACGCAGTCCCATTTGGAAAACATTTTTTCTCCATTTTGGCGGATGTTCCAAAAGCCCCAAAAAGTGGCAGTGAGTCTGGAAATTTCCATGAGACTGTATTCAACTTTACTGGGAGGGGTGAAGACAGATCTGTCATTTGATGCACTATACTGTTCAAAATGTTCTAGTTTCCAGCTATGTTTGCCTCGGCTAACAAAGGAAAGACGGAGTGGCTGTGGGACTGGGTTAATGCTAAGCTTTCCTATGAGAGTCTTGCTCTGTCCTGACAAGGATGATTCACTCTCCTGAAAGATTGGTGCTGCGCCAGAGTGCTTCTTCAAGGACAGATAGCATAACCTACTTTCACTGAAATTCTAGGTGTTTTCATGAGAGTAATTTATTTCCAAAGTCTTTCGAGGTGCCATTCAGATAACATCAGATGAGGAAGTTGGATCAGTAACCGGCAATATAGAATATATTTTTTATAGCTAGAATATATATTATTTAAAATGTACATAAGCACACATATATTTTATCATAAATTGAAAATATGTATTATTTGTAGATTAAATACATTTGAGCTGGGGACTCGTTTGTGTAGCCAATTATTCAGGTTTGACACTTTCTCTTTAAAAATCTTGATACTTTATTCTGCATTTTTGGCAAAATGACAACATTTATAAATACTCAGAAATTCCACTTCCTGTTGCTCAAACAGATATTTGCCCTGTTAGCTCATATTGTGCACATGTAAGCATCAACATATATTCACAGAACTGTATCATCTGCTTCTCCTACTTTGCATGCTAGCCATTCTACTCTGAAAAAGAGGACAAATAGCATGTCATCTTTATCTGTCCCTTCTCGTGTCCTTGTGGCTCAGTCTTGGTTTCCTGCCTGCTTCTCGGGCACTTGGTGCCTTTGGGGAGTCTTGGTGGTATTTATAGTGTGATGGATGGGAGGAGAAGGAGAAGGAGAGCTCATGGTGCTTCGTTCACAATTACATGGAAATTCCGGGCATGGTCACGCATTGGACGGAAGCTATATCCTGCGCCGGCATTAATCCTTGCAGTCCCGAGGGGGAGCTGGAGTGTGACCGAGCAGATTACCGTCTTCTGCCTCCTCAGCAGACTGGACCGTCCAATGCTAACAGCCGAGGCAGCCATTCTGCCGGCTACGGTGGAGAAAGGTATGATGGTGCACCAACCAGCCCCCTGGATCTGTGAGCTCTATCAATAAAGAGTGGAACGCAGATTACATGGCTGCACGCTTGAGCTGCCAAGGACAAGAGCAGACTGTCCATGTCCTCATGTGGATGAACACGAATAAAATAAATGAATAACAGCATTTTTATTTTTACTTTTTTATCAATGTGCTAGTGGACACCCTGATACATATCTCGTTCCATTATACTCAGGTGTAACACGTTTTATATATATATAGTATATACAGAGTGGGTGCTATAAAACACAATCTCCCCTATTTCCTATTTAAGGTACAGTATAACATAATTTTACATTTACCATAATTCTAACAGTTTTGAATGTAGTTTAATCTGTTTACAACAGATTGAAGCTCTTGAGATTAAAGGTAGGGTAGGTAAGAATGGAGAAACCAGCTGGAGTGCGCTAGAATTTGAAAGTACGCAGCCGAAAAAAAATCTGCCCCTTCCTTCAGACTTCCTTACAGAGCCCATCCTCCAACACACACGAACGCTCACATGACCAATGAGGGCACGAGATAAGTTTGTGCACAGATGGAAGGCTGACAGGCAGTTAGGCCATCCAGTTACTTTAGCCGGGCCGGCTCAGATGATTGGTCGTGCTTTTTACAGCGCCACGGCTTCCACAGATGAACATTTTTTATGTATTTATTGTCAAAGCATTTAATGTATTCATTGCTATCGGGATGTTAAGAGCATTCCATGGAATATAACAAAAAGTATTTCTGAAGTAAATTACCTACCCCACCTTTAAGAAAATGTATTTATTACTACACTTACTACCAAGGGTGTAACTTTGGTTTGAGAAGTGGGGGGGACACAAAACAGGGGGTCCTCCGCAATGAAACATTGTTCTCTATTTAATTCCATTTCCTGCCTTTCTACAAATATATATTAGGGACTATGGTGTTAACAAACCCAAGACAAATGTCTAGTGTATATAATGAGTGTGCAAACTTATCTATCCATGAACCTGTTTTATTTGTGATTACCTCACATCCTATAGGGAGTCCGGGGGCATGCACCCCAGGTAAGATTTTTTTCTTTAAATTGAAGTTAAAGCATCAATCTGGTGCACAAATTAAGAGATTTATGGATACAACTCTCAACACTCATATGGAACAGAACTGTATATATTTCAATACTCCAAAAACCATTAGAATATTCTCACAACCAATAACACATCATTGATAAACTCCTCTCTCCTATCTTTATCTTACCAAGTCTGCATTCTTTATTTTTATTTATGCATATTTTACTAATCACTTCCCTTTCAAACTTTGTTTTAAATTTTTTACTGACATCTGAATTATTTATTATTTATTTTGAACAACTATATTAAATAGATGGAAATATTTGTTTAGACCAAACCGTTTGAGACCCACTGAGATAACTAAAGTTTACAATCACTCAAACAAATATTTCCATCTATTTAATATAGTTGTTCAAAATAAATAATAAANGCTAATATTACAGCACATATCCTCTACCTTTGCGCTTTTACGAGTGATTCCTTTTGCGTTTGAGTGTCTTTATTTACACTTGTTTGTCCAATTACTTTTACATTTGCGCGTGTTTGTTACTGTGTAGGCAGCCGGTGTATGGAAATGTTGTTTATGCGTTTTTATGCAAAGCAATTATGTTGACTTAATTGGGTTTGTTTATGTGGAGAGTTTGCCACCTCCAGTCATGTTCCTGCTACCGTGGACAGACACATCACACACACAAATATTCGCGCACACTTATTGAAACAGCACACTTCACTTTGTGATTGAATAATGTGAAGTGTTTCCTTTATAATAAGGGATTTATATTCAGTGTGGGTCCTAAGGACACTATCGCAGAAACATTTCGTTAATATGTCACTCAGCGGCAGTAATTCATAATGTGGCATCCTGAGTAAACAAAGTCAAATCATATACCGTAATTGTACAAATATGTAGTGACAATCATTAGTGAACATGTACAGTTGAATAACATCAACATGTCTTCTGGGTAAATGCTGCATTTCACTAGCATTATGTTCAAGTACTGGATTTTTCATCCACTCCAAAGTACAACCAATGCAGTTTTAAAAAAAAAAAACTCTGCTCAACGTCTGTTCCTCTCCTCATTGCCTCAGGTCTGAATCCAAAGATAAAAGGTTAATTTGCCATTTCTCTCTTTCCTCTGGGCCAAATCAATCCGACATAGTCTCTGTCTGCCATTGTCCTAATCAGACCCTCAACTCGCTATTGGATTTCAATGGAAGTGGCGCAGCCCAAAGACCTGCACAACCACCTAATCAATGATCCTCAAATGCTGCTGGTTTCTATAGGGGATCGCTCTGGTTTTAATGCTTACACAAGGAAGTGGCACAGGGTCCAATGACTTGATACTGTATGTCCTCTGGAAGTGCATCTGTCATTTAGCTAATAGCGAATCACAAACAACTTCATGTATAGTGATTCTGCTGCGTGCTTGGGGGGTCTGTACATTCGGCATCAATCGCTCTAACCCTATCGCTTCAAGCCCAATGAGCACATCCAGGGTAACCTAAGTCCAAATGAACCTTCTAGCTTACTTCAGTGTCATAGAAAGAAATGCAGAAGGGGAAACAAATTGTCGTTCACAGCTTTTTGTCACAACAGTTCATGCAGTTTCCTTCAGTTTTTATGTAATACAGACAGGGAGTAAGTATTTGTTACTATTGGCCTCCCTTTAATGCATAGAAGATAATTCAATTAATGCAACATATTTTTCTTTTAGCTTGTATTACTCTGAATTGTGTGTGAATGTTTGAAACTTTATTACTGTATTGTCGTGCAGGTTCTGCGATGGCCTCACAGAACTCTGGGAATGGACCAGAAGGAGCCCACCCGCCAAACAACCGCTCACCCATGGCTCAGGAGAAAGGTATGTGTGTGTGTATTTTGTATCCAATGGCACACATTCGATGTTAGGACTTGACATTTTAAAGGCCACAAAGAGTAAAGAGAAGTTTGTTTGAGTGGAATACAGTGTGTGTTTGTGACAAGAGTTTTACTTTGGTGAAACGCAATGGCTAACATTCTTAGAAGAACCAATGCAGCATAGAATGTTTCCAAAAGAAATCCTGATAATTTACACTCAGAATAAAAGAAGCTTTATACTTTTCTAAAGTCAGCCATGTCCGAAATATAGATTTTTCACATTCCACACCAGTGAGGACATGAAGGGTGAAGATCATAAGAAACTAAAATATAAATAGTCTGTTAGAGCAAAGCTCTGTGAATATCACCATTACTGGTTGTAATGAAAGGTTTTCTGATGGAACATAAGGATTTAAACAAAGATTGTGGCTTGTTTGACTCAATGCAGGACTTTAGCAAGCAGACGCCTTTCATATTCCTCTGAGCTTTTGACGGCACCAATATGTGCTGAAAACAAAACAGAAAAAAACTTTTTAAATAGAATCAAATGATAGTCGAGGTAAAGCTCTCATACTTAAGGTTTTTAGCATCATACGACATCATTTCCCAACATAGGTCAGAGGAAAACCATGTTTTTGCAAATATGTAACAGTCAACATTCAGTTGATTAAGTTTGAGTCAGAGCGTGTGTTCTTTTGATGGAGCCACTTCAGTTTTGCCCACATCTTGTTGCCAAAGGCTTGTTGCACGAATGCTAACCCACAAGCCACATGCGCCTGCCAGCAGAAAATTATGGCCACTTGTCAAGTATTACTAAAAACAGAAGAATTACTCATTTACATCCACAGAACATTGTAACACAATCTGAAAGGCTGGGATGTACCCTTAATGGGATGACTGTGATGCTCCTTCTCTATCAC